TATTATTATTATTATTATTATTATTATTATTATTATTATTATTATTATTATTATTATTATTATTATTATTATGTAAACACACATTGATTAATATTCATAGCTCTCCCAATTTTTTTCCTTGAATTTGGGATGCAGTGATGCATAGGATTCACCAAGGATAATTACCTTTATTTGGGACAATTGGCTTTCTTGGACAATCACCTTTTTTCAGAGTAACATCATCAATAGCAATATCTCCCTCAGAACCTGTTCCACGGACACCTTCAAAGATGATCTGAGGGAAGAAAAAGATCAGACTTAGAAAGGTTTTTAAACTTCTAAAAAATTTCAACTCAGCAAAAAGAATGTTAGGTTGCCTTCCTGTGATACTAAAGTCATCAGTCCCAAAAGCCATTAGATCCCACTCAACACATTGTCTACTTGCTCTGAAGTTTCCTGGTCGTTTCAATCTCCTAATGTCCCCAAATAGGGCATGATGGGGACAACTGTCTCTCATACTCCCACATGAGATAGAAATTTAGACCAGCTTAAAACAAATAAACAAATGAGAGAGGGAGGGAGAGGGAGAGAGGGAGGGAGGGAAGGAGGGAGAGATATGAATTTTTGCCCCAAATGATCTCTTTTATATTAGAATTGCTTTGCAATACTCTGTTCATTGTTATTGTTAAACTATGAAAAACAGAAAACTGACTTTGGGACAATTAATGAATGTTGGTGAAATTTAATGAGAAAAGAAAGTTCAGTTGATCTTTGTTACCCTTCACAACTCTACATTTTTTTTTTAGACAACAGCATCCTTTGGGGCTGTCTATAAGGCCTTGTTTATTTTTTTAAAATGTTTTAGTTTATCAGTGAACTGTCTGCAAGGTGTTGCTGAGCCGATAAGGTAGAAGGCTGGGGGCTTTAAACAACCTCCTGGAAGCCATTTCAAACTTCACATCCTGGCCCTGCCTCTGCACTGGACCAGAAGCTTGGTAGTACCCTGTGCCACTGTCTAATTCCAGGATGATTTCCCCTGATATCCACCCATAAACTATTTTACAGGTTGTTGTTTTTTTGCCAATTAATAAGTAAAAAACAAAAAGCAAAAGGATTTCAATATTGCAATCTCTTGGCTGTGTAACACGGAGGCATATGATTGAGGCGTTCTTCCCCTCCTTAGGAGATAGACAAATAAATGAAACTTTATTTTAAAAGTTACAATAAAATGCAACCTCCCTTTTAACTTTACATATTAAAAGACAGTCAACATGGATAAAGATAAATTGTAGAGCTGTTCCGATACAGCTGGCAACTAAACAAGAGCATTTCCAAACAAATTGGAAGATGGTGCTAGTCTGTTACAAGCAGCAGATTCTCCCGGTGAGATGGCAATTGAGTCTTACTGCACAAACTCTGTGTGTGTGTGTGTGTGTGTGTGTGTGTGTGTGTGTGTGTGTGTGCGTGCACACGTGTGCATTTCCAGCCTGAAGAATGGATTAAAAAATGAAATCACATAGAATTTACTACCTTGCGCAGAGAAATACAAGATAATTAGTGCAACACAAAGAACCAGGAATTAAATGCCATACAAATGTTGGCTTCTTCCTAGAAGGCTGTTGAAGCAGACGTTTTCTGTGCTTCAATGATTTAAACAAAGACTGTGTGGAGTGATCTTAAATACTACTCCTTTCCAGAGTTGGTCCGACAACTTCTGTCTTTTTTCGAAAAGACCAACCCCTTCTTTCTATCTGCAGGAGTGTCCATGACAGACAGCATCTCCCCCACATGGAAGTGGATTCTGTAATGACTGAGGCTGTGGGAAGGTAAACTGGGTGTCAGAGTAGGTGGCTTGTTTGGGCTAGTCACAGCAGCTATGTCACATGCAAAGGCATGGTAATACCTAACCTTCCACTCTGCAGGGTTAGATTGCCTCGTTCACACATTCTGGCTTCATTTCTGTAATGTACAGTAGACAACACACCTATAGCTTGACACAGAACCTCTATTTTGCAATGAAATCCAGCTCTGTGTGTCTTTCGAAGCCAATGTAAAGGGGTGCTAAGGTTTGGGGAATAGGATGAAATCATTGGGAAGTGGTGACTTCTCTTATTAGAATGGGTTGCTGCTCATTTGCCTTTTGTCCCTGCCTTGATATGAGGGAGGCCGTCCTCAAAAGTGGATCAAGGGACAAAATGAACTGCATTATTAGCTTGGGTGCTAAAATCTCCGTAACTTGGGCTGCTAGGAAGGCCAGAGCTATCCTTCTCCCCCTGTACTCCTGACTTTGGAATCATAGGGGGCTCCTTCATTCTCCGAGCTTGACAGTTACAGCTTCATTAGCCCATGCCATCCATGCTGTTCCCATGGTTACAACACTTTACAGGCAGTGAGGGCAGAGGCCCATTCACCTCCCATTCCCTCAGGAGCAGAGCCAACCTCTGCATTCATGTCCCATTATGCAGGAGAAGACTACAAGCGTGCCATTACCTGTCTTCCGATGATATAAAGCCCTGCACGAAGCCTCCTCACTCAGTGGATATTCAGTGTAGCCACTTTCCTATTTGCTGAATACTGTGATGGGAGATTTTCAGAATAAAGACCAGATGGAGATCTGTGTATGCAGGCTGCAAAATTTCATTTTCCCCTAACCAACTATGCTCTCTTTTATTTTACCTGAGGCAAGTGTGGCAGGGATGGGCAATTGAAAATGTTAATTGGTAATTCCCTTCTATGCTCATTCTGCAAGTCTGGTTTTGTAAAAAATCTACACAACCTTGGCACTTACATCTATTTCGGTACGTATCTTTTGAACACCTTAGAAAACAAGCGAGATGTATTCACTTTATCCTCGAATGCACAGTTTAAATACTTTTTGATTTTTCCCCTCTGAGCCACAAAACTCCAGTGTAATATTAAGGGAAGTGGAAAAAAAATCCATCTGACTGATAAGTTCTGATCTGCACATTTCTCTAGAAGAGGCAGATCAATTCAAGTTGAAAAGAGATTCCTCCAGCATTCCTAGTGGCAATGATATCACGTGTGTATATTTATCTGTAGGAAGCAAAGGGCAATTTTTTCATGCTCAGCTGCTCTGTTTTCCATAAAAAAGGGACTTTGTCTGTGTATGAATACTATTAATGCACATTTGTTTCTAATTTTCTGACCTGTTCTATTTTTCTATAAGGCAGCATTTCTGTTGTAAGAATATTCCATTCTCTGAGATCAATATGTTGTTCTTGGGAAAATGCAATATTTTCCCCCTAGCTAACACACTGATTGCTATTAAGTTGGCTACACGGAACCTGGCTGGCAACATACTGACCACATATTGCATATGATATGATTTAATACTATTTCCTCTCTGTTTTACTCTTTTTGAATTTTCCAGTTCATTGTCTGGAATTTCTCTGAGGCAGTGTGGTATCTCTCTATATTAATCCTGCAAAGGAATACTCATGTAGAAAAAAAATCCCTACATCTCTTTTAGTTATTAGCAGCTATTTTCACAGTGCAATCTTATATGTAGCTATTTAGAGGGAAGTCTTACTGAATTAAATGGTACTTAAGGCCAGGTAAGCATGTATATGGCCTTAGCCATAATTCTCCCCAGCAAAATGGCTGTATATATTGGTTATGTAGAGCCTGGTGTTACATTTTAGTCACTAAGTACTTGGAAATGTTCCAGTTCTTCTTCAGTTTTCATAGCCTGATGAAGAAGAAATGAACTGGATAGAAGGGAGGAAAATGTTGATTATATAAGTCTCATGACACACCCTCTAATGAAAATGAATCTCTCTCTCTCTCTCTCTCTCTCTCTCACACACACACACACACACACACACACACACACACACACACTGTACCATTGCTTTTTATGCCCCTCTGCAGAAGGGACACTTCTGCAAAAGGAAAGACCATCCCCAGGCTGTGAGTCAACAAGCTGGAACAAGCTCATACCAACTGAATGATAACAAATTAGTTGCCCATCCCAGTTGTCATTAAGCACACAGCAACAATTGAGCTACAAGCAATAAGCAACAGGCTTACAAGTAACTAGATCATTGTTTTATGGCACCCCAAAGTATACTGCACACTTTAGTGCTAAGTAAAAAAAGAAAAGCAATGCTCATGGCCTCACCCAGTACAAGCAGCGTAACAAATCATTCACCAAAGAAAATAAGATGCCAGGAATAAAATTTGCAACAATATTCCTAGGGAATAAACACCTCTGATTTTAACACACACACACACACACACACACACACACACACAGCTTAGAATAATAAACAGATATGTATGGCCCTGTTCATTCCTCAATATAGTTCTATTTATTTTGCAGATGCATATCAGTTTTATACTTGCCCAATATTTACAGGTTTGAAAAAGATCCCTGAGAACTGGTATGCTAAGATTTTAGTTTTTTTGAAAAGCAGCACTGTTGATATAACAAAATAATTTGCTTTATACTCTGGGAGTTTAGAGTCTGGATTTCAAGGTATCAATATTAAATCAAACAGTTCACACAAAATTTGAACATAAACAGAGTTCATTTACCCAATAATGCTAAGTAAATATGTTTTTGTGCAACTTTATATGAACAAAAATTCTATCTCTATGCCAATTTGCAACCATAACTCTTCTTTTAAAAGACCATAACCGAATTTTCATCTATATAATAAAATAACAATCATAAACATGTCCAATTCTTAATAGTAAACATAAACTTTTGTGCAATTTATATATGCTTCATATGCTTCCAAAATAAAACAGACATTTGAAATCCAACCTACAGATGGAATAGCACTTTTAAATCATCTTTGTAGAATCACACTATGCAATTGTCTCACTGCTCACAAACAGCTCAGAAAAATTAAAGCATAGTGTTAAATTTTGCATAGATTCAACACACCATCACAGAATCTTTCATGAAGCTATGTAAGATTTCCATAACGTTTAACACACACTTACCTATAGGAGGTAAGATTTATCTAGCTATACAGCTTTACCTCCTACCCAGTTCCCCCCTCTCAGATCAAGAGAGAGTTGATCCATTGCAGGGGTCCCTAAACTTGGCAACTTTAAGACTTGTGGACTTCAACTCCCAGAATTCTCCAGCTAGCGCTGGCTGGAGAATTCTGGGAGTTGAAGTCCACAAGTCTTAAAGTTGCCAAGTTTGGAGACCTCTGATCCATTGATTTGACAGGAATTGATTAACTGGCTTGTCACCCAATTATGATGTTGTAGGCTGAAAGTGAGCGCTGGTTCCAAAGTCACCCAGCCAGCTTTCATGCCCAAAGTGGGACTAGATCTCAGAGTCTCCTGGTTTCTAGCTGGACCACTAGACCAAAATGGCACACAGGACATCACATCACCCTTTTCAAGACTGTTTAGAGCATTTACAGAAACACAGTATGGATCTGAAAATTTCTATTTAACATATTACAATACGTACATTGGAAGAGACTTGCTACCATGGATGGTTCCACAGCTGATATGTGACATTGCAGTGAATCAGAAGTAATAGTTCTGAATTTCCCCTACATTTCTCATTACTGAGAATGTCTAGTAACATGGTTATAAAACATGGCATCACTGTGCTACAAGTCATGTAACTAGTTGCTGTTTATTGGAGCATGGATATTTGAAGATGAGTGGTGGTCATCTTAACAATAAGCACCACATCTTCCTTGCATGCATTCCCTCCAGCTGAGACTCAAGTCAAGAACATTCTTTGCAGGGTACTTCAGATGACTGCTGGCTGCCTGCAATTTAGCAGTTTGAATCTCACCAGGCTCAAGGTTGACTCAGCCTCCCATCCTTCCGAGGTTGGTAAAACGAGGGCCCAGATTGTTGGGAGGGCAATAGGCTGACTCTGTAAACCACTTAGAGAAGTGTGAAGCGGTATATAAGTCTTAAGTGCTATTGCTATTCTACAAAGAAATACTCTGGTTAAGGATTGCACTTGTGACTTCTGCATGCACAGCAGGTACTGCACCACTTAGCCTTTCCATGTCTCTTTCTCACATGAAAATAGAAACAGTACTCTCCTATGGAGCAGGTGGGAGATTATAATGTGAACTTCCTGACTGGGTCACGATTTGCACTGGGGACTCTTAGCCACATAATCCATACTACCATAGGAAAGGGCTGGTGTTTTTGACAGCAGCTACATCCAGTTGCCCACGTAAGAACCCATTCAACAACGACAAAGCTCAAGTAACTGTTCAAGCCACATATTAGCGCTGATGTATAAAGTCCTATTATGAAGTAATGGGGTTTGGGCGGGGAGGGGGAGAGCCATGCCTCCTAAGCTATTTTATTGTAGGAGGCCAGAAAGAGGTATTCTGATTTTCTTGAACTTGTGTTACTGCACATTTCACACTCACCATTCAATCTTTGCCTTAAGGTTTGCTATACTAAATCAAAGACATAATAGCAGGTATTATAGGATCTGCTTACCTGGAAAGGTCCTGCAGGATTGATGGGTACGTGTACTTGCTGCCACATATTTCCTTTGTCTCCTCTGAGTGACAAGGCTTGAGTGGGTTGCTTATTCTTCACGTGAACCAGGAGATTTAAGGATCCTATAAAGGAATGGCATGAAACACTGGAGTCATACTGCTTCTTTGCAGCAATCTTTTTGTCACAGGGATCAATTGACATTTGCATCTATATTAGATCTTGCACATTGGTTCTTTCACTGAATGCATAAGATGTGAGTATGGGCTATTAGCAATCTATATATCTTTCATTATTGAAATCTTGGAGTAGAGGTATACATTTAAAAGTCTTGTGCATTGTTTCCCTGAAGAATTCTAGTTAATTCCCAGTTAATCTTATCCCAACTTGGGTGCTCTTTATTCATTCAGTAAGTAATATCCCAGTTTAATGTATGCCTCCATTCTTTCCTCCTCATTTTTTTAAGCTGAAAAGGAAGATCTAAAAGAAATGAACATGTTGCACTCCTTTATTACTATCAAGAACCCTGATCTGGTAGGGGTTCTAGTGTCTTGGACTACAATGTCTACATCCAGACAACCTTGGTTATAATTATTCTTCAGACATTTGCCACCATGGGGAGGTTGAGGGACCAATTGTGACATTGATTTAAGAAATGCAGTACTGAAAATGGACATTGAACTGTTTGTAAACCAAACTGCAAACTAAACTCAACTGCAGCCATGACACTTACTAAACACATGTAGGATAAGTAGAAATCTCTTCACTGAACAGAGGGTTAGATTCAATGGTCTAAATTACCATTTCCAACTCAATGACTATGAATTCAGGTTCAGTTAACACTCCCTGTAGAAATTCTTTCCCAGAATCATCCTGCAGCATACACCTCTATAATAGGCATCTAAGGAGCATTAAAGCTAATAAAATATGTGTTTAATAGGCATCTGGTCTGGCAGACCTTATCAAAGAGCAAGCTTCAATGAGCAAGCTCTTGTCTGCACATATTGTTTTCTGAAATGAATGTTTATTTAATTGATTTCCAAACGATCACCATGGGAAATGTGCTAGGATGGGACAAAGCTATACAAAACTTTGCATAGAAGACAATTTCCAATTGCAAGGCTGTGAATATGCTGCTTGAGAGATTCACAGCCTGGCTGCTGAAGGAAGCAGATACTACCAAGTTACTGAGCTCATAATTTTATATACATACTTTCCTGGAGGTAAGCTACCTGAAACCAGGAGGAACTAGGGTAACGGGAAGACAGCTAGAATGGAATTTGCAACTGAACCTTTTAGAACATGGATGCCCAATTGCTTTGTGCTAATGGTAAGTGCTATATAGCAGCATGATAGCTGGCCTGTGGTTGGACAAATCCAGTTTGAAACTTCAAACTCCATTTAGCCATGAGATTACTAGACATTGTAGTTGAGTTGATCTCACAGAATTACTCATGAAAGTAAAGTAGTGGAAGACATGCCACCCTGAACAGCATAAAAACATTGATAAATCTTATTTTTATTACAAGACAATGTTTCCCCTAGAAATCTATTTGTCTTGTCTCCCTTAACTCTCTAAATTTAATGTACTTTTTGACCTATTATAAATTACTAGTCATTCAAGACATGCTAAAAAAACACATAAAATCCAGACATTTCATTGGTCTTTTTAGGAAAAAATGCCACCACTGGGGTCAGGTTTCACCTTGTCTCAGTAATATCCAGAATTAATGATTAAAGAAAGAAGTCTAAACAAAAGAAAAAAATCTGCTTAAACCCACACTATTCTTAGATTGTTTTCCTTTTTTTTTTTCTATGTCTGTTGGTTGATATGTGAATGGGTGTTGATATGTATAATTTAACTTCACTTATATCTGTAGAATGAACTATTAGTGTTAAACCAAAGAACATAGTCAATTTTGGCCACCTGAGGAATGTAACTTGAAGGAAGGAGAAATAAGTTGCTCTGTGACACTGGAGAGATGGCCAATTATGATTTCACTTGCTTTGCATTATGGATAGGGTGTTTTTTCCTTAAACAGGAAATCTGATTAATATGCTTTAAACCAGAAGTTTTAGGTTTGGTGATTTGCATCCCTAATTTAAATCATTCCACTCTAGAACCAACTACTGTCCCTAACAGCTAAGAAGTAAAAGATTTCCTTGACATTATTCACCAGATTACTGTTCTGAAGAGGCAGATAGCAATATTACACAGCAGGCAGGTTCTGTATTACCACAAAAATGTGACTGACCATCGCATTTTCATGGCTACACATTCTAATGGAACCCAAATAAAATAAAATGGAACTGCCATATTTAATTCTGTCAATCAAGAAATGTATTAATCAGCTCCAAATGGATATTGTAGGAAAGGTGGGCCAACACCCAAATATTTGAGTTGTGGTGTACAGTGAATATAATAACTCTTCTGCTGAGATCTGAGTTATACATATCCCATATTGGTCCCAGGCTAGCAACAGAGTGAAGGGATCCAGTGGTGGGATTCAAAAATGTTTCACTACCAGTTCTATGGGCGTGGCTTGGTGGGCGTAGCAGGGGAAGGATACTGTAAAATCTCCAGTCAGAGGGGTTATTTGCCAGTTCTTTGAACTACTCAAAATTTCTGCTACCAGTTCTCCAGAACTGGTCAGAACCTGCTGAATACCACCTCTGAGGGATCTATACTTTGTCCCAATATTGCTTTAATTAAATGCACGTGCATGTATTTATACACATATAAGCACAGCAAGTTGTCTCGTGAACCATAGAAATGGGCATTTTCAGGCTGCATTTGAAACAAGTTCCTTTTCTGCAACTTTGGAGCCCTTTCTATCTGAACTACTAGATTTCAGTCTCCTGTGGTTTGGGTAGAAGAACACTCAAAACATAAATCTTTTACTTTCCCCTTCTGCCTATCCCCTCTCCCTCATGTTTCTCCTGACACAACTCCATCCACATACACCAGGGCCCCTACATCAATGCCCAGGGCCTTGCGCATTGGGGTTCTTGCATCTTTCCAAGCTGTTATGCCCAATTCACAGCCAACAAAAGTTTGCTCATCCTTTATGTTCAGTAATACATTATCTGCATGAAATCTGTTCTCCCACTACTAGAAGAAGTTGGTCCTCAGCAACTTGGGTAAAAGGCAATTATTTTCTTCCTTCTCAGCATCCAGTCTTCTTTAATATCCGATACCTATTTGAAAGTGGACATCAGACAGAGATCTGGCTAAACTGGCAAGGCAACCAGAGCTGTTGATAAACTGAAGGGGGTTTAGAAGTGTGCAGTGCTGATGAGAATCCTGTAGCTGTTCCACAAATCAGTGAAAACTTGGCTTTGTTCCCAGGCCTGGGCATAGGGTGGTTGTTGAGGCACTGTTAGGGTTTTGTTTTTTTAATGTATTGGCTTGTTTGTCCTGGACATGCATGTTTTTTCCCCTTTCTTTCCCTTTCTTTACTTTTTAGATATAAGCCATCCAGAGTCATTGGCCAAATAAATCCAAATGAACAAACAAATAAATAAAGTCATAACTTGGCTACTATAGTGTGACTGCCGGACTAGCTCTGATGAGTTTAAACAAGAGCAACTTTATGTTAGCAACTTTTCTAAGGCCATTTCCATCAGTTTGAATGGGAGGCACTAGGTCAGTTCAATAAAAGGATCCCCTCCAGGTCTCAAGCTTTAAGAAATAATCCTGAAAACTATTTTGGACCAAATCTTTTGAACAGAGAAATTGAATTTTAATGGACAACTCTCTCTGTGTCGTCCTTCTTTCAAGCTGGATAAATGCCAGACACTGCACTCATTAACTTGTGAAGACATCTGGAGGACACTTACACTTCCTTCATTATCCATCCGAGTATCTGTAGCATTTCTGGCTCACGTCATGATTAATAATCAATTTAGCAAAGAAATGCCAGGAAATCAGGCATCATTCAGTGTTCTGATCTTATCTACTCATCCTAACTATAACATTTCAGGCAAAAAAATGTCATTTCGTCAACTGGAGGCTCAGGAAGCATTTTGAATAAATTATGGTTTATTGGTTAATCTTGCTCCTCTTTTTTCAATTAAAGTGGAAGAATATAAATGGGAAAACAGGGCAAATAAACTGGGGACATACAACTCAGTTCTGTTCTGCTGTTCTGTTGTTTAGAATGAGGAAATTATTTTTCTGAATATACAACCACATTTATCTGAATAGCAAGAGGAGGTGGTATGCCTAAATTTGGACAATATGTATTAAATACTGTAGTCTAATTTTTAAAAATCTGGAGATTAAATCCCTAGTGATGAGATCATATAGGTCTATTGGGTTGTGATAGCAAGATATAATGATTATTAGTGAACTGCTCATCAAAAGGTGAGAATATTTGAATCTCAAAGCCTGGTTCAGATATTACACAGAGCCTGCATTTTAGAGAGAACTCAAAATGTTCAGATATTAAAAGGAGAGAAGTCAAAGTCCTAAGTAAGATTGTAAAAGTTATATCAGGTAGAGAAATCTGCCTGGATCTCTTTCCCCAACTAGTTCTTATTCAGCTTGATGAAAGAAAATGTTCTTTGAAGATGACAATTTTGGAGAAATTTACATCTTTAGCTCTGATATAGCTGAGGGCAGGGGTGGGATTCTACCAGTTCGCACCTATTCCCTAGAACCGGTTGTTAACATTCTAAGCAGTTCAGAGTGTTAGAAGAAATTACTGGCCTAATCCTGTAAGGAAGGCAGGAAGGAAACATTCTGGTGTTGCTTACAGAAACTGCCTCTCCATTAACCCTTATTACATTCTTAGCAGGACTAGACTTCCTGTCTCAGGAACGTCTCTGGAGTTTTTCCCCCTCCTTTGATGGTACTTTGCTTGTGTGGAGTGACCATTCAAAGTTACAATGGCACTGAAAAAAAGTGACTTATGACCCTTTTTCACACTTACGACTGTTGCAGCATCCCCACAGTCATGAGAGGCCATGCGAGGAGATGCGTGCCTCGATGTGAGTGATATTGAGTTGGCCACACCCAGCCAATAACATGACCACCAAGCCATGTCCACCCAGTCACATGACCACCAAGCCACGCCCACCACTTAAGCCATGCCCACAGAACCGGTTGTTAAAAATTTGAATC